AAAGTGCTTAACAGCCTTTTGTCCGGTGTGAATAAGACGCACGCATATAACAGTTGGGTCATGCCTGTTCTCATGTATACCTTTGGCATACTTAGGTGGACTCAGACCGAACTAAACGCTCTGGACAGAAAAGTCCGCACTATAATGACGTCCCACAGGATGCATCATCCGAGATCGTCAGTAATGAGGCTGTACTTGCCGCGGAAGCATGGTGGGCGCGGCTTTTTAAGCGCGCTTACCATGCATAATCGCGAAGTGTGCAGCCTCCGTAATTACTTTCTGACGAGAGCGGATGATCCATACTATAGGGACGTTATTTCTTGTGATAAAGGACTGACCCCTCTATCCTTAGCCAACAAGCAATGGCAAGACCCAGCAGTACAGTGCATTTCCGACCGGGAGGCCGTATGGAAGGAGAAGGAGCTCCACGGGAGGTTCTACAAGGCTCTACATGAGCCTTTCGTAGACACAGTCGCCTCCCTTCACTGGCTACGTTTCGGTGACCTCTTTGGGGAAACCGAGGGTTTTGTCTGTGCAATACAGGATCAGGTTATTAAGACCAACAATTATCGGAGATACATCCTAAAGGATGGCGCCGTCGACATCTGTCGAGCTTGTCGCCATCCCGGTGAGTCACTTAGGCATGTCATCTCTGGTTGTTCGGCGCTTTCTAACTCTGAGTATTTGCACAGACACAATCTAGTAGCCAGGATTCTACACCAGGAGCTCGCTCTGAAATACGGCCTAGTGGATCGGAAACTGCCGTATTATAAGTACTTGCCGGAAGCCGTGCTCGAAAATGACCGCGCCAGGCTCTACTGGGACCGGGCCATCATCACAGACAGGACTATTCTTGCGAATAAGCCTGATATTGTGCTGATGGACCGGGCACAGTCAAGGATCTTTTTGGTCGACATTACCATTCCTTATGACGAGAACCTCGTGAAAGCCGAAACAGATAAGGTGACAAAATATCTGGACCTGGCTCACGAGGTTACCGGCATGTGGGGTGGTCTGCCGGCCGAAATTATTCCTGTGGTCGTTTCTGCGAACGGGTTAATCCCAGTCAGCCTCCCGGGTCATCTGAGGCGACTGGGACTCCGTGACGGACCGCTCCAGGCTCAAATGCAGAAGGCGGTGCTCCTCGATACCGCCCGCATCGTCCGCCGGTTTCTTTCCCTTTCCCCCTAACCCTCGGCCGTCTGGTCTCCCCTGCCGAGGGCTTCCATCTGGTTGGGTTTTTATATATTTATGTATTTTTTATGTATTTATTTTATTTTATTCATATTTATGTATGTTTACCATTTTCATTTACAATTATATATTTATACTGCCCAACCAGATGAGAAAACTTTATAGATACCCCAAAATAATAATAATAATAAATACTTTTATTTCTCAAAAATTAATTATACATGTTTTTGAGACGCCCCAGAGAGTAATTTACATACTCGTATTGGGGTAAGTATATCGAACACAGCATTTGAGTCACCTCCGTTAAATCTTTGAACCATTTCACGACACTAACCAACACGACAGAATTTTTGGGCCTCTGTCAAATTATGAAGTATCCACCGGGCACAGAGCTTCCTGACCGCTAAATGTTCATGGAGGATTTTATGTACTTGACTCATACAGATGCCTAAGCTTGTCCAAATCTGCTGATAAGTCACTCTTTTGTCAGTCTCTATCATATGCCGCACAACACTAATGTTATCTTCAGTCATCACCGTAAAAGGCCGTCCCTTACGCAGATTATTGGTGAGATTAGTGCAAACACGTTTAAGCTCATGAAACAAGTTGTAAATAGTGGCACGAGATGGGGCTTCATCGTGAAAGGCCAATCGAAGTCTATCATAACTTTCTTGTTGACTTAAATGACATCGAAAGTCGTAAAAAATCATTGTACGAAAATTTTCGCACGTTAAATTCATGCTGACGTGACACAGACAATTTTCAATTTGCCGCAAAATTGTAAAAAAAAAAGACAAATTAATAAAATACATACACAATAATATTGGCAAAGAGCTCCATTTTCAAAATTTTACTTATTTTTTTATTATGTCGTTCACAAATGGCCAGTTCTAAAAACTTTCAGTGTCGCCCTCGTATAAGTATACATGTACGTATATAAGTAATATTATAAGTATTTGCGCTGTAAACTTGTTACTGTTACCTAATATCATGTTGTGTGCACATGTTTTGGAATACCATCCAGATTGTAACTTTGCATTTATTATGTTCAATTGTTCATGCTTTGATGTTATACTGTTTTGTGTACCTAAATAAATAAATAGGCTTCCATCATGGATTGCCTCATAGGGGTTATTTGCCATAGTTTCCATGCTTTACTGACGTCTGCGTATTTAAAGTTTGACGAAACATTGTCATCTATCGGAAGCCATAAGATCTTTCTGGCATATCCCATAGTCGCCTTTTACGAGGTCCATTAAACGAAATGGGGTGATTGTTCCTAGGACACAGGCCTCCTCTCATTACTGAGTGGTTTTTTTTATATAATAAGGGTGACTGATGGTAAGTAGACATCTTCACCTATCTCCAATTATGAACTAAAATCTAGATGCGTCGTTACCCTTGTGGACTAAGATTGAAAGCCTTGTTTCCAATGAAAAGGGTCTCCGGTTCTCTACACTCACCATACAAAACACAGCAGTGTTAAGCTGTTGCTTTACGATGGTATTCTGTGAGAGCGTGGTCCTTCCCCGGTCGTAGCCGACCAATTCGTGCTAGAACTATACTACTAATATATCTGCAGTATGGCTCTACCACGTATAAAAGCTGATCATTTGTGCTACATTACAGCCCTTCACAAGTCCACTGCTAAATATAGGCCTCCCTAAAGGAATGCCACAAAGCACGGTCCTGAGCTACCTGCATCCATCGACTTCCTGCATGTCTTACTAGGTTGTCACTCCATCTATTGGGGGGACGCCCCACACTTCGCCTACCGGTACTTGGCGTGCCACTCGAGAAACTTTCTTCCCCATCTGTTGTCGGTTATTCGAGCTATATGGCCGGCCCATAGCCACTTCAGCTTACTAATCCGTTGGGCAATTTCGGTTACATTGGTTCTACTGCGGATATCCTTGTTTTTAAGTCTATCACGCAGAGAAACCGACCTTGAGCTTCCTCATATAGCCAGCAGCGAAAGACCACGTCTTAGATCCTTAGGTCAGAGATATGCCTGACGTGAAGATGTGTCGTAATCTCCTAAACGCTGTCCAGTCGAGTTGAATCCGTCGATTGACCTCTCGGTCGAAGTTGTACTTACCTAGTCGCACTATTTGTCCCAGGTAAACATACTCGTCAACAACTTCGAGCTTAGTGCTCCCAACAACTACCGGCATAGATCTTTGTTTTGTCCATGTTCATCTTAAGACCTATTCGCTGGGAGACACTATTGAGGTCATTCAGCATGGTGCTTAGGTCCTCCAGCGATTCTGCAATAAGGACTATATCGTCGGCAAATCGAAGGTGAGTGATGTACTCGCCATTGATGTTAATACCGTATCATTTCCAGTCCAGTAGCTTAAAAACGTCTTCCAATGCAGCGGTGAAGAGTTTCGGGGATATAACGTCACCCTATCTTACACTCTCTGCAGTTGGATACGTTTCGTACTCTGGTTCTGTATTGGGATAGCCATCGTAGCGCCACTGTACAAACACTTCAGTGCTTCGATATACCCACAGTCAACTTGGCACTGCTGAAGGGACTACACTGCCCAAAATACGACTGTATCAAAGTCTTTCTCATAGTCCACATAACCAAAGCTGAGTGTCAGAATGTACTCTTCGGTCTTCTGTACAATTTACCGAAGTTATGTATGTCGTCTCCATAGGCTTTATTACCATTACTAAAGCCTTTTCGAAACATTCGTTCCACAGACCACAATATGGCTGCAGTGTGGTTCTACTCCGCATAAATAGTTTTAACGGTTTTAGTGAAAGGATGTGTTAACCGTGGTTAACGGTGGTATACATGGTAGAGCCACGCTGCAGCTATATTATGGTTGGAGCACGAATGGGTCGGCTCGACCGGGGAAGGACCACGCTCTCACAGAATACTAGCGTAAAATAGCAGATTAACCTGCTGTGTTTCGTATGGTGAATGTAGAGAACCGGAGACCCTTTTTACTGGAAACGAGGCATTCCATGTTAGTCCTCACGGATGACAACGCATCTGCATTTTGATTCATAATCGAAGATGTAGATGTCTATGAGCCACAGCAACCACTTACCATCAGGTGGACTGTGTGCTCGTTTGTCACCCTTATCGTATAAAAAAAACCGGGCTTCTGTACGATGATTTCTGGACGTAAAATTGTAATCAACAATTTCATTGGTGCCGACGGGGATCGAATTCGGTTTGGTTGCGTACAGTGACATTTATTGCGAGAGTTTAGCTTCTGAGCTAGCACGACTCTGGAGTGGAGTGTAGTAGAAAAACAAAACAAAGAATTGAATTGGAAAGACATACGTTGAATGCATACAGACGAATATGTTGAATTCGTTGTTCGTCCGGTAATTTAAATGTTGCTTTTATGGAATGTTTAGATTATCGGACTAACAACTCGCTGAGTTATTCGTGGATGAGTGCGACGGTTTTATTATGTCTGTATTCATTTATTGTTGATCTTTTAAATATGGATGATGTACGTCTCGTTGCTAAGACATTGGGTCTACTTAACTTTTGTAGTCTTGTAAATATTTAATCTGGAAAAATGAAGGATAGACGGCAACGAAGATGGTGTATGATTGCTGTTAAACGGAGTCGAAATTGGGTTTCGCTTTTGTGAAATTCTTAATTTACCAAAAAGAGAGTATTAATTAGAGTACCAAAAAAAGCCGAAATTGAATGGAGAACTAGCGAATACTCTGGTCGAGTAATGATCACACCCGAACCAAGTGTTATACATGTTATTCGTGCCTATTCGTCTGTGCTGGGCGAGTATATAAACATAAATTTACAATGACGACAGCGCGAGCAGATAGCTCAGAAGGTGGAGAAGCGGATGCGGTCGCGAGTGTACGTGGTGCGGGAACAATACGGCGGCAGCTGGCTGCCGCTGTGCCGCCCCCGGGCGATGCTCGCCGCACCCTGCAGCGACGAGCCGCGCCTTAAGCTGCAGCCGGGAGACCGAGTGCGCGCCACCAGGCACAGGAGGTAACGCGCACCACCACCACTATACCTGCGCGCCCCCGGGCGATGCTCGCCGCGCCCTGCAGCGACGAGCCGCGCCTTAAGCTGCAGCCGGGAGACCGAGTGCGCGCCACCAGGCACAGGAGGTAACGCGCACCACCACCACTATACCTGCGCGCCCCCGGGCGATGCTCGCCGCGCCCTGCAGCGACGAGCCGCGCCTTAAGCTGCAGCCGGGAGACCGAGTGCGCGCCACCAGGCACAGGAGGTAACGCGCACCACCACCACTATACCTGCGCGCCCCCGGGCGATGCTCGCCGCGCCCTGCAGCGACGAGCCGCGCCTTAAGCTGCAGCCGGGAGACCGAGTGCGCGCCACCAGGCACAGGAGGTAACGCGCACCACCACCACTATACCTGCGCGCCCCCGGGCGATGCTCGCCGCGCCCTGCAGCGACGAGCCGCGCCTTAAGCTGCAGCCGGGAGACCGAGTGCGCGCCACCAGGCACAGGAGGTAACGCGCACCACCACCACTATACCTGCGCGCCCCCGGGCGATGCTCGCCGCGCCCTGCAGCGACGAGCCGCGCCTTAAGCTGCAGCCGGGAGACCGAGTGCGCGCCACCAGGCACAGGAGGTAACGCGCACCACCACCACTATACCTGCGCGCCCCCGGGCGATGCTCGCCGCGCCCTGCAGCGACGAGCCGCGCCTTAAGCTGCAGCCGGGAGACCGAGTGCGCGCCATCAGGCACAGGAGATAACGCACACCACCACACATCACTATCCATCACCCCACCACACATAAGTCCACACCAGCCCAACACATCACCGTCCCACTCTGCCATATACCACCCTCCTATAACACCATCATACTGACCCTCCACTCTACTACCACCCTCCACCACAACATCCTTCCACCACATCACCAATATACCACACCACCACACTACTACACCATCCAACCAGCAACCACCACACCATCACACTACCACACTACTACACCACCACACCACTCATTAACCCCATTACTCCATCACCCTAGCACCGTCGTTCATAATACTATGTACACATAAATTAATGCATTTCTTTATTTTGCAAATATAGGATTCCGCCATATTTATCACGAGGCATGCAAAAAATATGTTACATTATTGTTATCAATAGTTTACATAAATATTTCAAACACAAACAAAAACAAAAGACTACAGTAGATTACCAATTATGTCAATTCAAATTACATGTAAGTCTAATAAGTCAATTGGTACATTATTATAACTTTCACATCAAATTAATTACACTAATAAAAATATTACAATGTATGTGTATGAAATAAATATCTATGAGTTATTATTATACGTTCAAATTTTAATAAAACTTTTTGCCTTTAAAAATTCAATACGTATAAAAAAAGTTGAGGTGTCTGTCAGTTGAAGCGTCAGTAGCCTAATGGCAGGGCGCGGACCGCGAACTCGAAAGGTCGTGGGTTCGAATCCGCCATTCGATTACTGTGTCGTGAACCACTTCTAACACAAGCATTTTAAGCTTAACAGAAGTGGTTAAAGGGAATATTAATAATGTTTAATAGCATTACTAGTATTAAAAAAATCTAAATCATTATTTTTTATTGAACTCAGGGGGGATTATTTGCATAACCCCACCTATATATTTATATAATTTATTTACATATTCAACTAATATTACTCTTCAGTTGATTGAAAATTAATCAAAATATCCTTTGTATATTAGAGTTCAAGGGAGTTTCCAAAAGCCAACTTCATTTGTATACAGTGTTGATTTACGAACGAAGTTTTGGCGAGTGATGACTGGGACTTGCAGAATCGTATGGAATTCCTCATTTTTATACTCGGCCTGGTTGTTCGATGGTAGAAAGGAGGAGGAGGATGGTAGGAATTAAGTATGTAATTTTATTTTGACTTATAAATAATGAACAAAAAGAAGTTGAGTGTCGTTGTCTTTTCTTTGTATCTTGTGTTACATTAAAAAAAGGATGTTTGACAAACGACATTTTAATTTCTTATTCAAAAAAAAATATTTCAGGCACTGGTTGTTTGGCGAGAAAATGGTTGGAGAAGGGCGCGGGCCGCGGGGTTGGTTCCCGAGCGCAATCGTGTCCCTGGCTGATCCGATGGTGGACATGTTCGACAACAGGTCATCGGAAATGTTCGACAACAAGTCTGAAGATATGTTCACAAATATGCGCGCAAGCGGTCTCTACGACGGTGCAGGCAAGACGAAACCCGATTAGCAGTTATCCAAACCTTATTGTGATTTTCGTTTAGTTTAACAATTTTGTATCAAAACATTACAGTCAATTCGAGTAACATTGGACTACCTTTGGGATATTTTTTGTTTCTATTTAGGAAGTCATGTGTATATTTGTATGTGTTAGCGTTCAAATTTGTCTTTAGGAATAAAATATACAGAGAACTGAGAGGTGTGAAGGGTATAAGAGCCAGTATATATAGAGGCTATTAGGTATTTCACTTTAGTCATCAGAGGTTACAACGTTTATAACGCGTCTAGCTTCTTTATTTGAAGTGGCTTTGTCCATGGGCTGCAGTGGTCACTTACTATCACGTAGACTGTAAGTTCATTTGTCACTTGAAATAAAAAAATAAAAAATAAAAAATATGGCTAAAATTACACTTTTGGTTGGTTCAAAGTTACATTGAGTTTGGGATAACATTTAACCACTAAATCTTACGAAAAAAAATTAGGTTACAGAAACAGAAACAGAAACTTTTTTATTCAATGTAGATTATAAATAATACTTATTGAAAGTCACTCTATTGTTTAATTACCACTGGTTCGAAAAAAAAAACGTCTGTCCAGGGAAGAACCATCAAGAAACCCAGCGGGACTTTTTTTTCTAAATAACAGCTTACAATCTTGTAATCATAATTAAACTCCCAAAGCAAATTAGAAATAGCTTGGCAGCGATCTACTTATTCCCAGGAGTTATTATCATCCATAAAATTCCTTAATATTATAATAACCCTTTTTATACAAACTTTGTTTATTAAAGTTTTTGAACTTCGAGCAGGTTAAATTTTGTACATTTTCTGGGATTATGTTGTAAAAGCGTATACATCGCCCAAAGAATGAATTACTGCCTCGGTGGAGTCGAGTAACTGGTTCCTAATATTCACAGAACGAATATCACTTATTTTTGTTTAACTACCTTTATTTTTGTGTACGTACGTTATATTTTCATAAATGTATTGAGAGGCCAAAGTTAATATATTAATTTCCTTAAATTTTTGTCGGAGCGACTCTTTAGGTTTTAAATCATAGATTGTTCTTATGGCCCTCTTCTGTAATACAAATATATTTCAGTGTCAGTCGCGTGTCCCCAAAACAAAATACCATACGACATTATGCTATGGAAATAGCTAAAGTAAACAAGTCTAGCTGTTTCCGCACTGGTAAGATTTCTAATCTTTAACAGCATATGCTACAGAACTAAGTCAGCTTGCTAATTTTGATATATGGGGGTTCCATTGAAGCTTCGCGTCTAGACTACCAAGAAAAATGGTGATATCGATAATAATCAGTTCCTCCCCATTCAAAATTACATTAGTATTTAATTGTTTTTTTATGACTTTCGATGTCATTTAAGTCAACAACAAGTTATGATAGACTTCAATTGGCCTTTCACGATGAAGGCCCATCTCGTGCCACTATTTACAACTGGTTTAATGAGTTTAAACGTGGTCGCACTAATATCACCGATGAGCTGCTTGAGGGACGGCCTTCTACGACGACGACTAAAGAAACTATCAGTGTTGTGCGGTGTATCATAGAGACTGACAAAAGAGTGACTTATCAGCAGATTCGGACGAGCTTAGGCATCGGTATGAGTCAAGTGTACAAAATCTTCAATGAACATTTAGCGGTCAGGAAGCTTTGTGCCCGGTCGATACCTTATAATTTGAAAGAGGCCCAAAACTCCGTCGTGTTGTTTGGTGTCGTGAAATGGTTCAAAGATTTAACGGAGGTGACTCAAATGCTGTGCTAGATATACTGTGAATGACGAAAGCTGGATTTATTGTTATGATGCAGAAACTAAGAGACAGTCTGCTGGCTGGGTGTTTCCTTCCGAGGAGTTGCCAACTAAATTGAAGAGAGGTCGAAGCGTGGGAAAAAAGATGGTGGCCACGTTCTTCGGAAGGACAGTTCATTACGCAAGAATTGTTTTAGAGGATTGAAAAACAGTTGCTGCAGCACTCTGTACACTAACAATTGTTTGCTACTTGTCTTGGAAAAAGTTCGTCCTTCACCACGACAACGCCTCGTCGCATACCGCCAAGCAAACAATCGACTACTTGGCGACGTCAGACGTGGAATTACTGGGTCGCCCGCCCTATAGCCCCGTCCGACCGACCGATTTTTATTTATTTCTGAAAATAAAAGAAAAACTTCGAGGTAAACATTTTATGAACGCTGAGGAAGCAGTGGATGCGTTTCAAAATACCGTTGAAAAGACCCCTAAGGGTGCGTAGGCAAAATGCTTTTCTCAGTGGTTTCATCGGATGCAGCGATGTAGTGATGTAAATGGACACTATTTTGAAAAGATATAATAAAACTAAGAACTTGCTAGTTTGTTCAGTTTTTGATTTCCTAAGAACTTTCAGTGTTAGCCTCATATACATATTATAAGAAAGTATTAATTACCCTGTACTAGGGATGATGGACATTTAAAATATGCATCGATGTTTTTTCCGATGCATCGATCGGTTGCATCGACGTTGATACGATGAATTGAGAAATAGCGCAATTCGCAATTGACATGTTTAGGCCTCTAAGAAAACTAGGCCTTAAAGAAAACAACGAAATATATTTATTAAAATTCACATTCACACCCTTTATTTTAATGATTTCTTATATTTACGTGAAGACTACACATTAAATGAAACAAATTTTTACGGATTATATCGTGTTTAATTTAACTCTTTAATTCCCGACGATTCCGGTGTTAACACTTTGTTTACAAATCCCAAATTTTTTTAATAACGCTATGTAAAAACAAAAGTTTACTTAATCCTTTTCCCTTCAAAAGATTTCTTTGCTCAGTCAAATCAGCCCTGCCTGCGAAAAGTCTTTCGGATGGAACAGATGTGCTGACAATTGTTAAATACTTGAAAGCTATTTTGTAGCTTTGGGAATTGTATTTAATAATCCCTTTTATTTTTCCTCCGATTTCTAACGGATTTTCATTTAGTCTTCCAACAGGAGTTCTGAGCTAAACTGAAAGTTCATCAGACAAAACCTCTTCTGATTTGTTACTCTTCCAGTTATGATGCACTAACTTATAGTGATCACTCCATAACGAAAAGGTCTCTTCATTTTTATCGGACTTGTCAGAAGCTGAGGGAGCTTGGTGTGGAGTGGAGCCGAGTGAAACCGATTTAGCGTCACGGAGCCGAGCGTGACGGTTCTCTTTCGTTCACTGTTCGGAAGAACGCGCCTTAACAGTTTTTAATAAAAAAAAATGGAAACATTTGAAATACGACAACACGCGTTAACACTTCCTTGATCTAACGATGATGAGGACGAGCCCTGTGCCCAGCATTGAAACATATATGGGCTGTGACTATAAACTTTTTAGTTTGAAATTATTTAATTCTTCGAAATTCATCTTTTGTGTTACCCAGTGTTCTGGTGAGTTTTTTTTTACAGCTACATAATAGTTCTGTTTTTGTTTGTTTGTTTGTCTGCTTTTGTGAGCAAAATAGCTAGTCCCAAGCTCGTTGTTGCTTAGTGCTTATACATTTTAGCTGAGGTCGCGACTTTGAGGAAGTATAGTCATCTTGATAGTATAGAGATCTATGGTTTTTACCTCGTTTATCCTTCGCCACGAAACCATGCTCATCTGTTTTCTTTTTAACAGTTCTTATCTGCCTGTTACATATGTCTAGATATCATAGACTGTATAATAAAATGCAGTGTTTGTCTTTTTTGGTCCAGCTGTCAGTTTACTTTAATTCTTGCACGAGTTGAATCTTATAGAGATAAAGCTTCAAATCAATTGGCAAGATTCGCCTTACGGAAAATTCCCAGATCCGCTGGGCGCCCTTGGGTTGAGAGTTCCGGATTCGCTCGAAAAGATTCATTAACTTCCTCTATTGTTTGTTCTGACCTTTACATTTAATTGGCAATGTCGAACCTGTTCCTTGAAATCTCTTCAACCACTGTTTGATCCAATTTGTCCTAGGACACTGACATATACTCCGCGATTCATATTTCACTTAAAATATAAATGTTAAAGTACAACATTTATTGTGATACATTCACGAAAAACGCTTGCACAACGAACGCGCACTGCTTCCCCATGAAGTGACTCATGGCGACTAAAATTGAATAAGATGCGTTAGCTTACGACGCTCTCCTCGCACTTCTACGGTTTTATTTAAACAACAAATGTGAACTTTATTATAGCCCATCCTGTAATTTGGTATGACTTCCATGCAATTTCAAATATAAGATAATTTGATGTTTCCTATTGGCCAAAGTTTTTTAAACAGTAGATTTCTATCGATCTCGTTTATGTTATCGACACATTTGAGTCCACACAGTCATTTGCTGGTACACATTTTTTTTTGTAAGTATATAACATTATTGATTGAATAGGAACTATGTTTTTTATTTTGTGTTAGAAACATATTTTTTCACAGTGTTTGCAAGTTTTTAGCAACATTTTGTTTCCACTTGTTGGGATTTCGAGAGATCTTCCACTACAGAATCAACATTTTCGGGTGCATCGTATGTACTGTCGGAAGACGAGGAACTAGTGCACCTAAAGAACATATAGTCACTGTTCGGGTCTTTTACTATAGTATTGTTACGAGCTTGAGGTTCGAGACAATTAAAAACTGCCGATTGAATTACCAAAATTGACACTTTAATTACGGATACTAATTACACCTTAAAACACACTAATAATAAAACACAGTTCGCCGTTATTTCGCTTCGAAGTATTCTCTTGTATCGCCAATTCAATACTGCCTCGGTCTTGGTCTATACCGGCCTTATATAGGGCCTCAGATAGTTTCCAGAATCTTCTACTGTAGCGACATCTAGAATGTTCGTGTACATATCGGTCCCGAAATTTCTGGAAGGATCTTGACTCTCCTAGTTCTGCTACTCGACACTAGAGGGCGCTAGTGTACCTAGTGTTGCCATGTACAAGACATTAATAGTGGCACGCAATACTTTCATTTACTCGACACTAGGGGTCGCTAGTGT